CCCCCCCCCCCCCCCCCCCAAGATCCTTCTTACTGATCCCGCCCCCCTTGCTCCCAAGCTAACGCTGCCACTCAGCAGAGTGCGCCACCCCCCAGGCATTGTGCTGTGTACAGGCAGGGGACAGGAAGGGAAACTGAGGCAGAGACTTGCCTGAGGCGTCGCACCAGAGCAGGGGCAGAGCACCAGAGACAGGACCCAGGAGTCCGGGTCTCCATCCACAAGGCCATCATAATGCCCGCGGTGCAGCATCCTCTCCCCTGGGACAGCCGCATCCCCCCCACCCCCCGTGCCGCCTTCCCCCAGCTCCCGGTGCTGTTCCCTGGCAGGGCATGTGGGGGGGACCCTTCACCAGCCGATGAGCCCTGGCGACCTACAGCGGGGTGGCAGCATTGCGCCCCTGGGCCTGCGCCCCACAGGAAGGGAGCTGGGCAGCACTGGAGGGGGGGGGGGGAGATGCAAGGCAGGAAGGATCTAAGGGCTCTGCCCCTCCCCCCTCCACAGTCCGGCTGGACCAGCAGAAGTGGCCCCGTGCGGCTCCCACACCCCATTTCCCCACCTCCAGACACCAGCCCCATGGCTTGGCCCAGAGACGGGCTCACGGCGCAGGATGTACTGGCCCACCTGCCCCACCACACTGCCCACCCAGGCACCAGCGGGGCAGCCACGTCCAGCCGTGCCATGGCAACGGGCACTGCACAGATGAGAGATTGTGCTATAGCAACCGGCTCCATGGCAACCAGCTCCAGGCTGACAGTGAGCCATTCCATGGCAACCGATGCTGGACTGCGCCATAGCAACCGGCACCATGCCGATGCACCGAACTAAAGCAACCGGCAGGGCAAACGCCGCAGACTGTGCCCTGGCGCCTGGGGCCACACCAGAGCCCAGCCATGCCCTAGCGCCTGGCGTCATGACAACAAAGGGCAGAATGGCAACTGTGCAAACAAGCCATTCCATAGCAACCAACCATACATGCGCCATGAGGATGAACTGCCCCCCCCCCCGCTCCCAGCGCAGCCCCCCAGGGGGGGCAGGAAGCGAGCTGGGGAAAACCAATTCAAAGTGCTGGAGTGAGGGGAGAGGGGCAGGAAGGGGGGGCACATTGGCAGACAGGGGTGGGGGGAGCTCCCCTCTCCAGACAGGACTGAGTGAGCCCTGGAAGCGGCATGGAGCACCAGTGTCAGAGGGGTCAATGCATGGGCGGGCCCCACTCCCACATGCCCCCCGCCTTGGTTAGGGGAACCCCCGACATGCAGACCAACGAGACCCACCCCTCCCACAGGCCAGGCCCAGACTCCAGCTGACAGAGACCCTCTTCTTCCTTCCTTCCTTCGCCCCCGGGCAGAGGAAGGCCCCCCCCCCCCGCCCCCCCCCGACTCACCATCTGCCGGAAGGCCTTGGAGTCCTTGGTGCGGGAGAAGGTGCGGTCGGGCACCCAGCGCGGCACCAGCCCCTCCGTGGAGTTGGCCCGCGCCCGCTGCAGCTTGGCCAAGATAGCCTTCTCCTCCTTCTGCTCGGGGAGAGGAGGGCGCAGGGTGAGGGGCCCCACCGAGGCACCCCACCAGCACCCGTTGGAGCGTCCCTCCACCCAGCACCCGCCCCCGCCCCGAGCACCTGCCCTACCCAGCACCCACTAGAGTCAGCCCCACCCCCGAACGCTCACCCCCCAGAGAGGCGGCCCCCCGTGCCGGGGACGCATCGCCCCCACCCCCAAGCCCGGCTCCCAGACTCACGCGCTTCTGGCTGCAGCCCACGATGAGGAAGGTCTCGATGTTGTGCTCCTTGAGGTAGGCATTACGCTCGCCCCCGTGGCCGGGCTCCACCTCGTAGTCCCCGTTCAGGTACTGAAGCGTTGCCCAAGTGATGTGGATGCGCCTGGGGGGGGGGGGGGGGGGGCGGGCGCTGGGCCCAAGGGGCCAGCCCCCCCCATTCCCTGTCTAACCCGCCGCACCCCCAGCGCGAGAGTCCCCGGGACGGGGCCCCCACCCTCCGGGGCAGGACAGAGCAGCTGCTTAACCCACAGCCACAGGCGGGAACTGCGAGGAGAGCACCCCCTACTGAGACCCCTGAAGTGCAGCCTCCTAGCGCTGCCCTGGGGCCAGCGCTGACTGCTGGGGAGAGCCCCCCACCTGTCCCCTGCAGTACAGTGCCCCCAGCACCCCACTGAGCCCCCTGCACCCACTGGGGTGAGTGCCCCACTGCGCCCCCGCCTGCCCCCTGCAGCACAGCTCCCCTGGCACCACAGAGGGGCCAGCGCTGACTGCAGGGGAGAGAGCCCCCTGCTGAGCAGGCTGTTTCCCAGGGGGCTCCCATCTAGGCACTGCCCCAGTCTGATCCTTCTTAGCCGTGAGCCCCCCCCCCTCCGCATCCTCCACTCACCCAGCTTTGCCTCCGGCTTCCATCTGATTGGCCAAGGTCACGTCGTTGGACCAGACGTCGAACTGCCACTTGCGCAGCCCCAGCACCCCGCAGTGCACGCGCCCGCTGTGGATGCCCACCCGCATGTTCACGTTCACCCCCGTCACCTCGCGCACCAGCCTGGGGGGGCACAGAGAGCGTCAGACCTGCCCACCCCCCGCAGCAGAGGGGGACCCCAGAGCACAAGGGAGCGGGTGTGACCTGCTCGCCATGGAGAGAACAATGGCAAGTCACGGCTGTGCCAGGCTGGCGAGACACAGATGTGTCCGGGGCAGGGGACATGAACCATCCGGCCCCTCGCGAGCAGCACGGCCGGGGGGGGGGGGGGGGCCCCCCCCCCCCCCCCGGGGTGGGCCGGCTCTGGGCGTGACCCCGGTCTGCCGCACAAGTCGGGGAGAGCCTGCGTGAGCGGAGCGAGCCCCCGGAGCACGTGGCTTGGGTGTAGCGCGTACGCATCAACGGACGGAGCAGGTGCACGGTGCGTGTTGTACGTAGGGCAAGCGTGCACTGCACCAACGGCAAATGTGCACCGTGCACTGCAGGTGCCTGTGCATCATCGGTGCGTGCCACGCACGAGGCTGGGGGCTGCGTGCAGTGCACAAGCACGTGGGTGCGACGATGTGAGCGGCTGGCCCAGGGCTTCCCCCCGCAACTCACGAGATGGCTTCGATCATGTCGACGCCCATCTCCACGCAGCAGTGAGCGTGGTCTCCCCGCGCCTCAGGCAGCCCTGACACACAGTAATAGCAGTCACCGAGGATCTTGATCCGCAGACAGTGGTTCTCCTGCGAGAGGGGCAGAGGGGGGCTCATGGGGTCTGCCCAGTGACACCAGCCCACAGGCAGACCCCACCCACCAGCCTGCCCCCCCTTGCCAACCACCCCCAGCCAGCCCCCCACCCTGCTCCCAGCCTACCCCACCCCCCATATCCCACCAGCCCCCAGCTTGCCGCCCCCCAGAACACGAAGCACCCCACAACGCGCTCACCGAGGCCAGCTTGTCAAAGCGTGCAAACAGCTCGTTGAGCGTCATCACCAGCTCCTGGGCCGTGCACTGGGAGGCCAGGCTGGTGAAGCCCTCGATGTCTGCGAACAGGATGCTGCAGAGGAGGGGAGAGCGAGCAGAGACTCAGACACTTCCCCCCGCCTCAGCCACTAGGTCCCAAAGTGCCTGGACCTCCAACCCCCTTCCCTGTGCCCCAGACGCCCCCCAGTGCCCCGCCAGGCACCCCAATACCCACTGCCTCAGCCAAGCATCCTCCAGGGCAGGTCCCCACCCTGCCATACCCAGGGGCTGCTCCCCAAGGCGGAGCTCCGCCTGCCCCACACTCCTAACCCCAGAGCCCCACAGGCCCCCCCAACCCTGCGTGTCCCTTGGGGCCTAGCTGCCGCCAGCGGGTCCCTGTCGCAGGGGCCCAGGCCGGGCCTCAGTTACCCAGGGCGATTCTCGCGGGTGCAGAGGAGCCCCCCAGACAGGGCCCCCC